CACGCAGTAAAAGCATACGGCTAGCACAGTCGAATCTTTACAATATTATTAATGAATCGAATTTTTGTTTAAATTATTTTTTTTTTTTTTTTAAAGTTTTTTTATTATTTTTAGTTGTGCTTTTCCTTCCCATCCTTTGGAAATCCTATAAAAACTGCAATAATGACTCTCAGAATGATGGTTACAATCTGGTACAAAACACGACACGCAGTTAATGTTACCAAAGCATATGTAGAACCAGTAGGTTCGTTGTCATGCCACCGTGACGTCATCACTTCGGAGCTATATTTGTGTGTTACTCGGTAAAAGATTAATAGAACTAATTGTTGTACGTTACAGCTTGTTTCTGTCATACGTTATTCACGTCTGTCTATTAATCGTGCTATCTAATGGTACACCGTACACGCGCCAAAAGTCACGAACCTGGATACCTGGGACCATGCCGAACATTTTCCAATAGGTTTCATGGGGGTTCCTCTCCAGCTAATCTAGCTCAATTTTTGGGGTGGGGGCAGTTGGGGGCGTCTGGCGGATACAACCACCGCTGAATTATTCTGGCAGTGGCCATTCACGATACTTGAGACTATGCCGAACATTTTCCAATGGGGGCCAAAAAGTTTCCTTTCCAGCTAATCTAGTTCATTTTTGGGTATCGGTTTTTGAGGTCTGGCGGATGCGCCGCACCACTAAAAGATTCTGGCAGTGTCCATTCCTGATACCTGGTACCATGCCGAACATTTTCCAATAGGTTTCATGGGGGTTCCTCTCCAGCTAATCTAGCTTAATTTTGGGGGTGGGGGCAGTTGGTGGCGTCTGGCGGATACACCACCACTGAATTAATCTGGCGGAGGCCATTCACGATACATGAGACTATGCCGAACATTTTCCAATGGGTGCCAGAAGGTTTCCTTACCAGCTAGTCTAGCTCAATTTTGGGGTAATGGTTTTTTAGGTCTGGCGGATGCGCCCCACCACTAAAAAATTCTGGCAGTGTCCATTCCTGATACCTGGGACCATGCCGAACATTTTCCAATAGGTTTCATGGGGTTTCCTCTCCAGCGAATCTAGCTCAATTTTGGGGTGCCTTTCAAATAACCCCACTAACCACACCCACCACCGGCTGCCCGGCAGACTTCCATTTCCTTACATGGGTATGTACACGAATCATTGCTATATGCATGAAAATTGGTTTTCTTTCCAGCTAGGCTGATCCCCCTGGGCTCCCGGTCTATAATTGTACTCAAATATTTACTTCAATATATTAATTATTTAATATATTACTCAAATTAAGAGGTTCTAGAGGTGCTTATTAGCAATTCAAATTTTAATCTTAAACTGCCTCATGTGTGGTTTGTATCAAATCCACATCTTATATAAAGATATGCTGTTAAATCTAAAGTATATACGTCTGTGGTAAGCAGTACTTAGTCCTTGTGTATACCGTGCATGGCGAGCTGGAATAAGATTGTATCAAGAGCTAATAATTCCTAATGTATTATTAGCACTTGATTGTATTTCTATCAGATTAGAACGCCGAATGTCCCTAGCCAGAATCTAGCTCCTTGATTATACACGCACAAACACGCATGTAGATGTACGCACGCGCGCGCGCACACAGTCACACACACACACACATGCACGCACGCGCGCATGCACGCACGCACGCAGACGCATACACGCCATGTATCGATTTTCGCAAAAAGTACAAAAAAAATTGTGCCGCATTTTTCTCCGGCAAAATTCCTACTGTATTCGATTTTCGCACCTGCTCATGTGTGTTAATTCCGAATTGCCACCGCGATATGCCACTGCCTCGATCGTCAGCCTTAACCTAAAAACACATTAATTTCTCATATCAGCCGCTCGTAACTTTCTCGGGTCGTTATCCAGATACGATTACGACCAGTTCTCCTTATACTGCTCGGTTGTAATAAGCATGCAAGTACCAGATTCTGGGTGTGTGTTTAGGGTGGGCTATGTCTTAGTAACGGGGGAGGGGAGTGAGGAATCGGAAGTAAGAATCCACAACACACGCATGCACGCCCGCACGTTCTATACGCATGTATGTAACACACACATACACACGTAAGCACGCACGCACGCACGCACGCACGCACGCACGCACGCACACATGCACACACACACGCACATATATTTATATAGGGAAAGCGGAGGGGAGAGAAACAGGTGAGCGAGAGCAAGAGAGAGATCTAGAGAGCGAGAGAGAGAGAGAGAGAGAGAGATCTAGAGAACAAGAGAGAGATCTAGAGAGCGAGAGAGAGCGAGCCATGTGCTGTAGCGTGGTGGCAGGCGGGCAGGTTGTTGGAACCGCTTGATCTCAAGAGCTCTTGTTGATATGTTATGTAGGGCCCACATAGAGGAACGATTGAAACGTAGAGAAAATTCAAGATACAAAGAAGAGCGGATGAAGCGATGAAAATGAGAGAAAGAGTGAGAGAGAGAGAGCGCGCGAGCGGGAAGGAGAGCGAGAGAGAGAGAGAGAGAGAGAGAGAGAGAGAGAGAAAGCACGAGAGCGAGAAAGAGAGAGAGCGAAAAAGGGAAAAAAAAGGCGAAGAAGAGCCGGGGAAGAGAGCGACGAGAGCGAGAGAGAGAGAGAGAGAGAGAGAGAGAGAGGAGAGGCGAGAGCGAGAAAGAGAGAAGAGGCGAGAGAGAGAGTGCGAGAGAGAGAGAGAAAGAGAGGCGAGAGAGAGAGAGAGAGAGACGAGAGAAAGAGCGAACGGAGCGAGAGAGGAGAGAGAGAAAGAGAGAGAGAGAGGGCGAGAGAGAGAGAGAGAAGCGAGAGCGATAGCGAGAGAGAGAATAGAGAGAGAGAGCGCGAGAGAGTGAGAGAGAGAGAGAGAGTGAGAGAGATAGAGAGAGAGAGAAAGAGAGAGAGAGAGGAAAGAGAGGAGAGAGAGAGCGAGAAGAGCGAGAGGAGCGAGAGAGAGAGAGCGAGAAAGCGTAGAGAGAGAGAGAGAGAGAGAAGAGAGAGAGAGAGAGAGAGAGAGAGAGAGTGTAAGAGAAACCCAGCACGTGTGATCCTGGTCACGGCACCAATATAAAGAAGCTCGCGTGTGGTACGTATAGATACGTGTGATCGTATAGTGTGAATAGGTTCGTTTGTACAACAGATACGTGTGCTATTGCACTTAAGCCAGAGGCAGTATAATGCTATAACTACAGAATTACTACGGTTACTCTATTCGTTAATAATCAACATCATATTGACAATTACATACAATACATAGGTGGCTATACGCAGGCCAACCAGTAAATACGCGTTACAAATGCAACGCACTGTTGCCTTGGCTGCTACTAAAATAACCTATGACGTGATCTACTTACGTTAAACGACCCGTGTCGCTAGGTTTTATACTAGGTTAAATAATTCGATATCTACGTCATTACACGCGCGAGCGAGAGGGAGAGCGAGAGAGCGAGAGAGAGTGAGAGATGTTCCGAGAGCGATAGAAAGAGAGAGCGGGGATTAGTTGCAGGTCGAGAAAGATAACAGAAAGTACGTACAATAGAAATAAGAGAGATTAGCCGCTAGGCTGAATCTGGCGACTGTAGGGGCGGCCATCTACATATACGGCCATGTTGTTGCCCGTGACCGCCTGATTGCTTAGGGAATTTGCCGACCCTACTAGAGGACGCATGGCATATCAACGTGCATTCAGCCGCTAGTGAACTGTCGTTCGGCATTCTGCCAGCGATCACGGAGGAAGCCATTACAGACAATTACATTATGGGACTGAATAGTGACGAGGCACTCATTGCGTCCAACGTCGCAACGAGTCGCTTAAACGAGTTTAAACAAGCGAAAAATGTTTAAATGGTGGAAATCGAAGCTGGTTTTTTGGCTTCGTGTTTTTTTATCGTAGGCGGTCATGTTACCGTAACTGTGCTCGCGTTTTATTGACCGGAAATAGTCGGCTGTAGAATTTTTTTCTGGAAGAATGCTTGAAACTAAATTAAAAACCAAAGCTAACATTTGAGCCGTAAATAACTTTCGCATCGACAAACGGTTTTCCGATATTTTCGTCTATGCACTTTTCAAACAATGATTATTGATGATTGATCATTAAGTTTGCTAATGAATAGTAATGTTAATTATATAATATCATAAAAAATAGACAGCGAATACTGCAAATAGGCACCGAGCCCGGCTCGAGTTTTATACAAGGGAGTGATTCACTAAAGCAGTTCACTAAAGCAGTTCACTAAAGCAGTTCACTAAAGCAGTTCACTAAAGGAGTTCCCTAGAGGAGTTCACTAAAGCAGTTCACTAAAGCAGTTCACTAAAGCAGTTCACTCTAAATCAGTTCACTAAAGCAGTTCACTAAAGCGATTCACTAAAGCATACAAACGTTAAACGATCACCCTGTTATAAATTATCGCAAAACGATTGCGCGATACATCCACGGCGATATTATGTCCATATAGCGGCTACATATCTCCATATAGCGGCCACATATCTCCATATAGCGGCCACATATCTCCATATATCGGCCACATATCTCCATATATCGGCCACATATCTCCATATATCGGCCATATACGTCCATATATCATCCACGGCGATATCCACGGCGATTATGTACCATTAGCCTTTGCTCCGCTACATGTCTTTGTACTTGTCATAATACATTTAATAGTATTCCTAACTATAGGCTAGTGGCTACCCTTATTTATATATTTGTATATTTGCCCCTATGGCTATATTAAAAAAAATATATATTATTATATATTTATTGTTATTATCATTTATTTTTTATATATTCCATATATTTGTATTATGGCGCATGCTCATACTTTAGCTGATCTCGATCTGCCTAAATACTTCGTAGAATTATATATATATAATAATATGTACTGCCTAAATAATATGTTCCTATTCGTCGACAGTGTCTGAGTCTACTATATAATAACGAAAGTGGTTACAGATTTCCTCACTACTGTTTACGCGCGTTTCAGTGCTAACTCGTTTTCTCTTGCAGCTATTCTCATAACAGAGGGTGTCTGGCTGGGCCTGGGCATAGTTTGGATGAAGGAACATTACGGTGCCTGTCCAAACAGCATCGCCAAGAAAACCATATTAGGTAGGTTTCGAGTTTACTTTTAAGTAGGATTCTGTTTTTAGAAACGTACGTACGTGTGTGCGTGCGTGCGTGCGTGCGTGCGTGTGATGTAGAGGGCTAGTATGTACTATCGACTTCCCGGACTGCATGTCGTGTGATAGTGTTCAGGCGGGGGCTTTAGCCATGCGTGCACTCACCGCCACAGACGACAAATATACGCGAACAAGACTCGACGTATTGCGGCGAGCTAGATGTATTGACACTGGCGCGTTCGAGCAGGTTAAATTGCTTTAGCGAATGTCTCGACGTTTGTCTCATCGTGTCTCACCATTTCACGGTAGGCTGGTGTCTTGCTCAGTCATAATTGTGGTTGAATGCATGAACGCAAACAAACAAATGAGCAAACAAACCAATGAGTAAATAAATAGACAAACAATAAAACAAATAACCGAAAAATAAACAAACAAACAAACAAACAAAGCTCGATATGACGACGTCCCACAGCGTGATTCTCTGTCAAATGTGCTACAGTATATACGTTTATGCTCCAGAAGTGATGTATTCCTTTCAACTAATATACGGACGAAGATTGACATAGTCTACGCGCTATCCCAACACAGATTACTACTACACTCATCTTTAATCAGTTTTCGTCGGCGAACAAAACGAGATTTATGAAATGCTTTCCGGCGGTTCGCGATGAACATAATCGAGTTTAGCGAACAATGAGATGGAATTTCTCATATCAACTGATTTGGGTTCTACTATTCCGAGAATAGTCAGCGTTGCCTACTATCGACTGCTGACATACGAACGCTACTTATAGTAAGAATACACGTTGCCGAGGGGTCGGGTTAGTCCGACTGCGCTCGGCTTCGCCTGTTGTGTTTGAATTTAGTTGCGCTGCATGCAGTTACGCTGCATGCAGTATGCCGGACTATGCGTGTTAGACGCAATATACTGTGTGAAACTCAGGCAGCGACTACGTTCAAGAGAGCCCGACGTATAACCAGGAAGGCATGACCAGTGCACGTTGGAAACGGCAAGAATGATGGGATGTAGTGTATAGGGCCGTATATCTGGCAGTGCTAATATATCTTCGTGGCGCACATGCGCGAGCATGCATTCACACGCACGCACGCACGCACGCACGCACGCACGCACGCACGCACACACGCATGCACGCACGTATACACGAATAAAAATTACACAGATGAGTCTGATATTTAGGAAATGATAGCCGAACCATTACTACCCCTGTCCGATATCTTTCGGCGAGTGGTCGAGGGTGCATGCCCGTTCTTTTGACATACTTGAAGAATATAAATATATCTAGGATATATTTTTAAGTGTGACTGGGTTATTTTGAGGTTTAAAACCTCGACACTAGTCTTATTCCTAGCGATTTTCGGAATGTTTTCCCGAAGCCGACAGAGTCCAGTTGAACTGCTTTACTATGTGGGCCTACATAACATATCAACAAGAGCTCTTGAGATCAAGCGGTTCCAACAACCTGCCCGCCTGCAACCGCGCTACAGCACATGGCTATCTCTCTCTCGCTCTCTAGATCTCTCTCTTGTTCTCTAGATCTCTCTCTCTCTCTCTCTCTCTCTCTCTCGCTCTCTAAGATCTCTCTCTCCGCTTTCTCTCCCCGTTCTTTCCTCCCCTCTCTCTCTCTCTCGTCCCGCAATCGCTCTCTTCTCATCTACTCCTCGCTCTCGTCCCGTCTCACTCTCGATCGCCTCTCTCCCCTCTCCCTCCTCTCCTCTCTCGAAGCGCCTCATCTGCCCCTCTCTCTCTCTCGTCTACGTCTTCTCGCCGCATCTCCTCCCTCTCGCCCGTCTTCACTTATCATTATCTCTCCCAAACTTTTCTCCTCTCTCTCTCTCTCCGCGCGCTGCTCTCGTCCTCTCCGCCTCTCCCCCAACTCTGCTCTCCTCCCATCCCCTCTCTCACTCTCTCTCTCTCTCTCTGCTGCGCCGCCCGCGTCATTCACTCTTCGCGCCTCTCACTCTCACTCCGCCGCTCCCCTCTCTCTCAACCCCTCGCACTGCTCCCCTCCCCTCTCCCTTTCTCTCTCCTCCCCCTCTCTCCATCCAGCAATCTGGCACGGCACTGCCGCGGTGTTAGCCTCGCTCGCGCACGCAAGGCGCTTGCGGCGGTCAGGCAGGCAGCAGGCCAGGCAGGGCAGTCGTCTATCCTGAACGAGGCTCACAGTCGTGTATATCAGCAGGCGCGACGAGTGTGTATAATGTGAAACGCGCTGTAACGTACAGTTTGACTATAGCGCTATACTAGGAAAAACAACGAATGACAACGTTCCATATAGCCAAGCTGTTCTATTTTCGAAAAAATCCCGCCAGCCCCGTTGACACATACGGTGGCATAGCACTACTACTACTACGCTACTGATACTGCGGCTTACATACTACTGATAAAGCCTATCATAACTGCTACTGCTCTGACCATAGCTTATACTGGCTACTCGCTACTGCTACTACGCTACTGCTATCGACTGCTAGCTCACTGCTAACTGCCTCGCACTGACTGCTATTACTGCTACTTGCTAACTGCTGACTGTCTACCTAGCTACTAGCTACTGCTGTACGCCTAGCTTACTAACTACTACTACTACTATTCTACTGACTAGCTACTACTACTACTCAGCGGGCGCATCCGCGATACTCACTATGCGATGCCATGAATATTCGTCCATCATCAGTGCATGTCTGCATAGCGGTACCCTTTTATCTTTTCACTGCCGCCCGCGCTCTCGTTTACCTCTCTTAACACATCAGGAACACTCGTTAGGGATCGTCGCTGCTCATTACGTGCATTATTTCTCATCACCTGTCTCCCTCGACATGCCTCCGTCACTCTTTATCGCCAACTAACACCACCGTCAGCATATCCCTTCACCACTCCTTATCGCATTATAAGTCCATCATTGCCCACCATCACCCCTCATCAAACCCATAGCATCCTCTATCATCCATTAGTACTCCTCATCAGCCCTCACTCCCATCATCCGTGATCGCCCTATCACATATCACGCAACCGCCTCATCACCTCTCATCACCCCTCATTCATCTACTACCACCCCTCATCACCCTCAGCATTCCTATCATACTCGGGGTTGTCCGTCACCCCTTCATCATCTACCAACCACCGCTCATCACCCTCAGCATCCCCTATCATGCCGTCACACCGGGGCCTGCATCAACTTACCACCACCCTCATGCACCCCTCATCATCTACCAGCACCCGCTCATCACGCCCTGCAGCATCACCTATCATGCCGTCCACCCCTCATCATGCTAGCCACCCCCCCTCACAACCTCTCAGCATCCGCCTATCAATCCCGTCACACCTTCCATCCATCTACCACGCACCACGCTCATGCCACCCCTCAGCATTCCTGCTATCATCCGCACCTCATCATCTACCACCACCCCTCCATCACTCCTCAGCATCCCCCTATCATCGCACCCCTTCAGTCATCTACACCACCAAACCCCTCATCACCCCTCAGCGATCCTACCATCCGTCACCGACCTCATCAATCTTACCACCACCCCTCATACACCCCAGGCATCCCCTACCATCGCGTAACCGACTCATCATCTACGCACCACCCTCCTCATTCACCCCGCTCAGCATCCTCTATCATCCGTCACGCCCTCATCATCTACCACACCCTCCTCATCACCTCGCTCAGCAATCCTCTAATCATCCGTCACGAGCTCATCAATCTACCCACCCACCCTCATCACCCTCAGCATCCCCTATCATCGTCACCTTCATCTATTACCACCCCCCTCACCACCCGCTCAGCATACCCTATCATCCGTCACCCCTTCCCATCATCTACCACCACGCCCTCATCACCTCAGCCAATCCCCTACCATCCGTCACCCCCATCATCTACGCACCACCCCTCATCACCCGGCCTCATCATCTACGCGACCACTCCTGCACAGCCTCAGCATCCCCTATCATCCGTCACCCCTCAATCATCTACCACGCACCCCTCATCACTCCTCTGGCATCCCTTTCATCGCGTCACCCCTCATCAATCCTACCATCCACCCTCCCTCGGCCCCTCATCATCTACCACCACCAGCCTCTCACCACTCATCCATCTACCACCACCCTCCATAAAAAAAATTTGCCACCCCTCAGGTCATCCCCTATCATCCGTCCACCCCCTCATCACACACCCAACCCCTCATCACTCTCAGATCCCCTTACCATTCGTCACCCCTTCATCAATCTACCCGCACCGGCCACCCCTCATCGACCCCTCAGCATTCCCCTACCATCCGTCACCGCACTCATCATCTACGCACCCACTGCCCTCATCATCCGCTCAGCATCCCCTATCATCCGTACTCCCATCATCTCAGCCAAGCCACCCGCCTCACACCCCTCAGCATCTCCGTATCAATCCGTCACCCGCTTCATCATCTACCACCAATCCCGCTCATCGCCGCCTTCATCACTACCAACCACCCCTCATAACCCCTCAGCTCCGCGCCTATCATCCGTCACCACCTTCATGCATCTAAGCCCACCACCCCGGCATCACCCGCTCAGCATTGCCTATCATCCGTCACCCGGCTCATATCTACCATCACCTCATCACCCCTCAGCATCCCCTATCATCCGTCACCCCTCATCATCTACCACCACCCCTCATCACCCCTCAGCATTCCCTATCATCCGTCACCCCCTCATCAGCTCTCACTCCCATCATCCGTGATCACCCTATCACATATCACCACCCTTTATCACATCTCATCATCCATCCTTCTCCATCATCACTTATTAACACCCACCGTCATCCCACATCACCTATCGCCACGCTCCATCACTCCTCCATCACGCACCATCTTTCCTCATCACACACCATCTTTCCTCATCACACACCATCTTCCCTCATCACACACCATCTTCCCTCATCACACACCATCTTCCCTCATCACACACCATCATCCCCCCTCACACACCATCTCCCCTCATCACACACCATCATCCCCCCTCAGACACCATCTCCTCGCCTCAACTTTCACCATTCTTCACCTCTTTCTTCACCTTATTTATTTATTTATTTATTTATTATTGTTATTTATTTATTTATTTATTATTGTTATTTATTTATTTATTTATATATTTATTATTATTATTATTTATTTATTTGTTTATTATTATTATTATTATACCTTCTACATCTCTTCCCTCTCTCATCACCCGGGATTCCCTACACACACCCTACGCCGGCGCGTTTGCACATTCTGCACATGGCTACAGCAGCTTTCAACGGATACCGTCTACACCCTGAAGGGCATCGCTCCTGTATCCTAGCGTGGTTTAGCATAACTACCGCACAGAGAGAGAGAGAGAGAGAGACAGAGAACATGAGAGAGAGAGAGAAGAGAGAGAGAGAGAGAGAGAGAGAGAGAGAGAGAAGAANTCATCACCCCTCATCATCTACCACCACCCCTCATCACCCCTCAGCATCCCCTATCATCCGTCACCCCCTCATCATCTACCACCACCCCTCATCACCCCTCATCATCTACCACCACCCCTCATCACCCCTCAGCATCCCCTATCATCCGTCACCCCCTCATCATCTACCACCACCCCTCATCACCCCTCAGCATCCCCTATCATCCGTCACCCCCTCATCATCTACCACCACCCCTCATCGCATCCCCTATCATCCGTCACCCCTCATCACCTCATCAGGGGTGGTGGTAGATCATCACCCCTCAGC